GAAATACAGACACAATATTCATAACTTTAACTACAAAAATGATACACACATATAGATAGCATAATCGTAACCAGCAAGACATAACCTTGTCTGAGACACCTTATTTGACCCCCTTTATACAAGATCTGGTGCCACTACAGGACCTTGGTTGCAACAATGTTCTATCCTAGTTCACGTCAATAACGTCACATACATCAAATTAGATATCCTGACATCTTTGTCCATCCACCCACCTAGCCACCAAGCAATGAAAAATACCCAGTTCTTTAGAGGAAACCAAAGCACCCTATAATGCAATTTGTCAATGGCACAGAGAGGGAAAAAAATCCTTCCTGATGTGATCAGTTTACAGGGATAGTCAATTATTTTTTTGTGAAGATCCAAATTTCTTGGTCAATGTATAGTCAAGGTCCAGACTTCAGAGAAAATAAAAAACAACATAACAATAAGTAAATAAAAAGAATTCAAAAGCATCTGGTGGTCCAGATTTGACCCTCAGTTCATCTATTTCAGAGGTAGGCAAACTACAGCCCGCGGGACTGTCCTGCACGGCCCTTGAGCTCCTGGCTGGGGAGGCTAGCCCTTGGCCTCTCCCCTGCTGTCCCTCCTCCTGTGCAGATAGGCCGCCACGCGGGCAGCGCGGCTGGCTCCGTCCAGGTGTTGGGGCTATGAGCTCCTGCTGCTCTGAGTGGCATGGTAAGGGGGTTGGATAAGGGGCAGGGGGTCCCAGGGCACAGTTAGGGGACAGTTGGATGGGGCGAAGGTTTGGGGGTGGGGGTGGGGAAAGACAGTCAGGGGACGGGGAACAGGGTGGACTGGATAGGGCGTGGGAGTCCCGGGGGGCCTGCCAGGGGTGGGGATGTTGATAGGGGTTGGGGCAGTCAGGGATGGGGGGGGGGTTGGATAGGAGGTGGGATCCACGGGGGCCTGGCAGGGATGTGGATAGGGATCAGGGGGGCAGTCAGGGGACAGGGAGGGTTGGATAGGGGGTGGGGTCCCAGGGTGGTGGTTTGGGGCGGGGGGTCCTGGGAGGGGGCAGTCAGGGTACAAGAAGCGGAGGGACGGGGGAATTGGATGGGTTGGGGGTTCTGAGGGGGGCAGGAAGTGGGAAGGGCTGGATACTGGGCGGGGGCCAGGCTGTTTGCGGAGGCACAGCCTTCCCTATACGGCCCTCCATACAATTTCACACCCCGATATGGCCCTCGGGCCAAAAAGTTTGCCCACCCCTGATCTATTGACTACTCTGGCTTACGCTCTGAAACATGAGTATTATTTGATACTGCTTTAGCATACACCAATGCAAATCTTACTGGTGAGAGTTGCCTCACTCTTTTCAATATCTAGCCACAGTTTTGACCCTGTGGCCTCTACAGTATTTATAGAGCACATATCTTTATTGTATCTAAGGTGCCCTTCTCTGGAGCTTTTCAATCCCAGCTACATTTCCTGAAGGTGACCTGCAGGTATATGGCAAGGGAAACATACTTTATGATGTATAAAAGAAGGTCTGAGCTTTTTTTTTAAACCAAGTTTTTTCCTGACTTTTACACATTAGGAATTAATGCCCTGTCTAGGCTAGAAAATACTATGGTGACGAGTTTCAGAGTAACAGCTGTGTTAGTCTGTATTCGCAAAAAGAAAAGGAGTACTTGTGGCACCTTAGAGACTAACCAATTCATTTGAGCATGAGCTTTCGTGAGCTACAGCTCACTTCATCGGATGCATACCGTGGAAACTGCAGCAGACTTTATATATACACAGAGAATATGAAACAATACCTCCTCCCACCCCACTGTCCTGCTGGTAATAGCTTATCTAAAGTGATCATCAGGTGGGCCATTTCCAGCACAAATCCAGGTTTTCTCACCCTCCACCCCCCCACACAAATTCACTCTCCTGCTGGTGCTAGCCCATCCAAAGTGACAACTCTTTACATAATCAAGTCGGGCTATTTCCTGCACAAATCCAGGTTTTCTCACATCCCCCCCACCCCCATACACACACAAACTCACTCTCCTGCTGGTAATAGCTCATCCAAACTGACCACTCTCCAAGTTTAAATCCAAGTTAAACCAGTTAACCCCCCCCCCCCCCCAGATGTTCTGGTTTAACTTGGATTTAAGCTATTACCAGCAGGACAGTGGGGTGGGAGGAGGTATTGTTTCATATTCTCTGTGTATATATAAAGTCTGCTGCAGTTTCCACGGTATGCATCCGATGAAGTGAGCTGTAGCTCACGAAAGCTCATGCTCAAATAAATTGGTTAGTCTCTAAGGTGCCACAAGTCCTCCTTTTCTCTTTACACAATGTGCATGATAATCAAGTTGGGCCATTTCCTGCACAAATCCAGGTTTTCTCACATCCCCCTCATACCCCAGACACATACATAGGAGCAAACTAGTGAAGTGACAGGAACCCAGTAAGTGAAAGCTAAGCCTTTAAGAGGGGACGGTATTAGTTAAGACTGTTTAAAATGGTCTTGTCTGTTTGTTTATACATACTTAACTTCAACCAATTAACATTCTGAATAAGCCTTTGCTAAAGACTCAACACCCTCCTCCCCCACTTCAATTAAGGTGTTAAGAACTCAAACATTCCTGATACCAGCCAGTGATCCTCCAAAGCAGCTAGAGAAGACCCAAGTTAATATTCTTCATATTTCCAAGGTGAAAAACTAGAAGAAAAGCTTTTTTCTAAAAAAAAAGTCTTTTCAGACTCTCTCTCTCTCTCTCTCCACATGTTAAAGAACAAAAAAAGGGTACAAGAGCAAATCTCTCTATAGCCATTTGCAGGTCAGCTCTTAAGCCAGATTATTTTCAATTTTTAACACATCCAAGTTTTCTAATTGCTTTAACTGTTATTCCAAAAGGGAGAGATTTCTTCACATATCTACAGTGACCCCTAAGTAGAGATGAATAACTGCTACAGTCAGTGAATTCACTCAAATTTTTGAACACTTTCTTTTAACTGTTCACTGTTCTTGACTATTTTAACAATTGAGTTTACTGGAAAAAACCTTCATTGAAACAGCCAATGCTAAGGAATTATTAGTAAAAAGTGATTGTTGAGTTTGATTACCAGTATTTGCATAGCATCATTACTTGCTATTTCATTAACTTTTTCAAAATCAGCTATAACCGTTTAGCATTGGCACTATTCCTGTTAAAGCAGTTTGCTGCAGAACACAGAGGTCATTAGCCTAAATTCCAAAGGATACTGCATTGTCTCTGGTTTCACACCTGCAGCAGAGGGCCTGCATTTCTGCACACAAAGGTTCTGAATGTGTGTATTAGGAGCAGGAGTACTGCTTTTTTCTTCTTTTTTTAACCTCAGAGGACTCATGAAGCATTACAGTTCGCAAAGCATTTCAAAATTCTCAGCTGGAAGACACTACTGAGTATAAGCAAGTTTTGTTTCCGATCAAGGATCCCCAAACCCATTCTTCCAAACCTGAAAACAATGACAACTCCTGAGCCATACAGACCCTAAACCCCACACGTGGAAATAAGGGGGAGCCCAACTGATATGAACAAAAACAGCACGGATCATCTGGCTGAAGAGAAGACAAAGGAGACCATGGCTCTGGAGCAACAGAAGAGCTATCATCTCCCAGATGGCACCTGGGAGAAAAGCTGGCAATACCCCCCGTCGAGGGTGACCAGCTGTTCCGATTTTATCAGGAGACTCCCAATTTTGGGGTCTTTTTCTTATATAGGCTCCCATTATCCCCCACCCTGTCCCGATTTTTCACATTTGCTGTCTGGTCACTTTACCCCACCCTGGGCAAAGAAGTCCATTATTAGAGAGGGTGAGGCTCAGCCCCTGCTGGAAGCAGAGGGGCCACATGGCAGCTGCAGGCAGATCGCCCCCCACCCACTCCCTGAGTGCAGTGAAACGGGGGGGGGCTTTTCCCTTCCCCCCCAGGCACAAGGCCAGGCCCGGCGCTCACCTCCCTCTTCACGCGCTCAAAAGCTTCCCACCGACTCCTTCCACGTCAACGCAGCTCACCTGCCAGCACCTCCAGGCCAGCTACAGGAAGTCACGTGATCCCGTCTCTTCCGGGGGGGGGGAGACCACCCGCGCCACCCTAGCGCATGCTGGGAGTTGTAGTCCTTGCCCAGCTACATCGCTCTCCGCCCGGCTGAGCTCCCCCCCGCACGCAGGCAACAGCGGGCACGCTACCGAGCTGCCCACGGGCTGTGTGGCTGCTGCTGCTGCATCCCCTTCCCAGTGTCACTCCCACGTCCCGCACCGTGCACACCCATGGGACTGTTATGTTTAGTCCTTCTCCTCCCACCAGACCCCCGCGGAGCCTTTTAGAAAGCGCGGGCAGGGTTTGGGCCCCCCAAAGGGCTTACCCAGGGCAAGGGAGAGACGATAAAGCCCCGGGACCGCTGTAGTCTGGGAGGGCTGCGAGCTGGACAAACTTCCCGGGCCACGTTTAAGGGAAACCCGGTTCTTAGGCCTGGGGAGTGAAGCGTGACCCAAAAACCCCGTTGCCACGGCAGCTCGGCACACAGTCGCTTTCCGGCGGGCAGCTGTGCGGGGGGGGGGGGGGGTCAGTGTCCAGCGGCTAATGACGTCACGGCAGAAACACCTCGTCCAGCGGCAAGCCCCTGGCAGCCCCGGTTAGCCCGGTTCCCAGTCGCAGGGGAAGCCCGGGTCCCCCCATTCCCCACCAACAACCCCGGGCCCCCTTCCCCGGCTCAGCACTTCGCCGCCGGCCCTGCGCCGCCCTGCCACCCAGAGCCGTCTCCTTTTACCGCCCCTCTCCTTGTGAGAAAGGGACCACCCCGGCGACCCTCCGAGCGAATCATTTCATTGCCCCTCGCACGTGTCACACGGAGCCCCTATCGAAGGCCATTGAAGAAGACTCTGATACATGAGCTGTAGCTCAGGAAAGCTCATGCTCAAATAAATTGGTGAGTCTCTAAGGTGCCACAAGCCCTCCTTTTCTTTTTGCGGATACAGACTAACAGGGCTGCTACTCTGACATCTGCAGGGAGGGGAGAGGTCTGCCACAGACGCACATGGGGGCTGCTCTGTGAGCGTTTGCTGCGCTCCTTTCCCCATATTCTGCCCGCACGCCACAGCAGAAATATTCCGGGGGGCGGGGAGACTTGGCAGGCGGCCTGTTCCCACACCGGCTCGCTCGCTCCCACTGTGCCGGGGCACTTAGCACCTTGTTGGGGGGTGGCGAGAGAGGCTGCCCGAAAGAGCTCGGCCTGTCTCCGAACTACGTTTCCCGGCAGGCAGTGAGGAAAAGGCCAGAAGGGGCGGGCGAGGGTACAAAGCGAGCCAGCGGTACCTGTTCGCACAGGTAAGAGAACGGGGTGAGTAACAGGTGAGTAAACCGCTGCGCGTAGCAGGTGGCTGGGGCGCTTCTGGCTGCGGGCGGCTCAACGCCCCCGTAGCTCCCAGCCCCGCTTGGTCCCGGTGGAGAAGGCAGAGCGGGTCGCCGGCCGGCCGGCGCTAACGTCAACGCCGGGTAGGAGAAGTTGTGGAAGAAAACAAGCTAAGATGGACTCGGTGCCGTGGGGGAAAAGGGCGCGGGGAAGACACGTGGCTTCGGCACACTCTGATGTGGAGGTGAAGCTGCGCTTTCCGGAACTGGGGTGGGGTGGGGTGGGGTTTTTCTGTCTTTCTGGGTGTTTAAGCCACTTCGCCACGCCAGGCGCGTGGTTTTTTTCCCGCCTGCCTACGAGGGCAGGCCGCAGCTCTCATTAAACTCCCCCCCCCCCTCCCCCCCGAAGCGACTCCCGAGGGAGGAGGCAGAAGCCTTTGGCGGGAAGGGGAAGGAAAGGCGGCTCCTTGCTCGGCGGGAGAGGCGTGTCCCTCGCGTGCCAGCGGCTCTGGAGCAGCCCGCGGGCTCTGCGCTTTATATGGCCTGTGGGGGAAGCCGCACGCCGCAGTTCTCGCCCCACGGGCAACACGGGCGGCTATGCCCTGGGGCGCTCAGGGCTCTGAAGGCCCTCTCTGTGCTCCCTCCCAGGGGGGTCAGGCTGAGCTGAGGGGGGGAGGAGGAGGATGATGTCCTTCTCCAGCTCCGAGTCGGAGGAAGCCTTCGACTACTTGTTCAAGATCATCCTGATCGGAGACTCCAACGTGGGGAAGACCTGCGTGGTGCACCGCTTCAAGTCGGGGCAGTACCACGAGAAGCAGCAGAACACCATCGGGGTGGACTTCACCGTGCGCTCGCTGGAGATCGATGGCAAGAAGGTGAAGGTTAGTGGCAGTCACAGGCTCCGTGGTGACCCAGAGCAGGGGACAGTTAGGACTCGACATCCTGATCAGCACTGAAGGAGGAGGGGCGGCAGATTTGTAGACCTTTTGGTGGTGCCCAGAACCCGCCCCCCCCTCCCCAAACTCTGCCCCCCACCTGCCTAAGGTTCTGGGAGGGAGTTTGGGTGCAGAAGGGGTGAGAGGTTGGGCTCTGGGATGGAGTTTGGGTGCAGGCTCTGGGGTGAGGGTGCAGGCTCTGGAAGGGAGTTTAGGGTGCAGAGAGAGGGAGCTTGGCAGTGTAAGGGGGTGTGTGGGCTGGGGGTGCAGGAGGAGAGGGTGCAGGCTCTGGAAGGGAGTTTAGGAGCAGGAGGGGGGGGTGTGGGAAAGGGGCGGGGGTGCAGGCTCTGGAAGGGGGTGTGGTGCTTACCTGGGGCTTCTAAGTAGGGTGTGCTGGGGGGCCTTGGTGGGCTGCTACCCCCAGGCACTGCCCCCCCCCCAGCTTCCTATTGGTTACAGGAGCAGTGCTCAGCTTCCTCCCAGCTCAGCCCAGGGTATTTGGCTATAGAACAGACTGATTGATTTCATCCTTTTCCATACCTGGGCTGCACAAGATACTGTCTCTTTTTTCCCTCCCACTCCTAAGGCCACAACATGTTAGCCCTCTCCATAATACAGTTACAAATCAGTTAGGGAACATAATTCCTCTGGAGTAATGTCCAAGCCACATTATGGCATGGTTTGGTTCTGTCTGCACAGACCAGCCTGAACTGTGTTATAACCATGCTGCACCTTGGTTATAACATAGTTTTTCACATGTACACTGGCAAAACCAAACCATGTTGTCAGTAGGTTCACTAAAGCGGTTGTAGCCTTGGGCTTTGTCTACACTTCCACATATATCTGCAAAACTTATGTCACTAAATAAGCCACCCTGCCCCGAGTGACCTAAGTTACACTGACCTAAGCACTGATGTGCGCAGCACTATGTCGGCAGAAGAGCTTCTCCCGCTGACATAGCTGCTGCTGTTGGTTGCGGGTGGATTAATTAAGTCAACAGGAGAGCTCTCTCCAATTGGTCTAGAGCGTCTGCACTACAGAGCTTACAGCAGTGCAGCTGCATCAGTGGAGCTGCACTCCTGTAAGATCTCCAGTGTAGCCATACCCTGAGGGTAGATAAAACCTAGGAGTATTGAATATCATAAATTCCAGTGCAACCTCTGAAGTGGCATTCAGACTTCACTGGCATTACTTCTTTTTTTCTCTCCTCCTCCAGATTCAGGTATGGGACACTGCAGGCCAGGAGCGCTTCCGGACGATAACTCAGAGTTACTATCGCAGTGCCCATGGTGCCATCCTTGCCTATGACCTTACCAAGAGGTCCACATTTGAATCTATTCCTCATTGGATTCATGAAATTGAAAAATATGGAGCTGCTAACTTAGTCCTGATGTTAATTGGTAGGAGTCAAACTTTTTGCTATTTGAATTTTTATTTTTGATACATAGCCTTAACCCCCCCCGTTCCCCCCCCCCACTTCATCTCAGGTTCTAGTTACATCAATTTTTCAAAATACATAGAACAGAATGAGTGTAGTAACTTGAGCTATTTTTTTTTAAGCTGGAAATGGGAATTAAGTGATTGCCCTCACAACCTCAAGTGTTCATATCCTATTCCTTGTTTTTTGCCCCATTATAATGGAACAAACTTACTGCTAGTCTAATCGGGGCAACTCTCTTGAGGTCACTGGACATGGGCCCACTTTCAGAAATGATGAATTTGGCCCAATGGTTCCAATACACACGAGCATAACAAGTTGTCAATGGGCAAAAATGCACCCATCTCAAACCCCTTTCTGATATTCCATATGTTCTCCTTCTGGTGTCCTTTCTACTGATGTGATCTTGCTTCTACTGCCCAGGGGGGCTGATCCTAAGTGGAAACAGGCTGGCAATGGGGACCTTCTTCTAGAGCAGGAAGGCTGCCTGTCCTGTTCCCCACCTTCTTTCTCCAAGGACAAGGAGAGTGGTTGATGGGAAGCAGGGTTATTCCTCCCTTCCCTCCCTCCTACAATCAGAAGTTGTAGTTATTGCTCTTCTCATCCACAGGAAAGGGGGTTGAGCTGGCAAAGTGAGAGAGCCTGCCGCTTTTGCCTGTTCTGTTATCAGCACAGTGCTGACAGCAGCATATTTATACAAGCCACAGAACAACAATCTGACTTGGCCCCGTAGCTTGGCAAGGCTGGGCCCCCAAGCTTGGTAGCTGTGGCTCTGGGAGCTGTGAGTCCCTGCTAACATACGCTTTAAAATACTATACTCCTAATTCTTCATAAATAGGTAAGTCCTTCCTAGTCCTCTTCTGAAGAAGTGACATGAAAAAAAAGGTCTGACTTGCATGGAGCTGTAGATCTTGGTGTTAACAAGGGAATAGGAATCATTTGAACTCTATAGCCCTTAGTCTGTTTATTTCTTTCCTGAAATGGAAACACAATCTATTACGCTCAACAAACAAATGAAGAAAGCCCTAAACCCTTTGGAAATTGTCCAGTATAGATTCATTGTCTCAGGATAAAACATTGACTCTGTATTTCAAAGGTTGGTACTGCTTAGCTTTTACTTGCTATTCAAACTGTCTGAACCTTTCCCATTTATTCAGTTATATAATAATTCATTCTAGTATAAATTTCTAATGCAAAATAACTTATGATTCCTAACCTTTCACATCTGAAATGGGTGGTGGGGACAGAGAGGAGACATGTAAGAAAATAAACAGATATGCTATGAAGCTGGGGTGTGGGATTTTTTTTTGTTTGTTTTTTTTTATAAAGCCCCTCTAGAAAAATGATTTCTGAAAGTATAAGTTTTGAATTTGCTGAAAAGACAAGTTTCAACATCCTTGAGCAATTTGAAACTTACCACTAGTAAAATATCGTATATGCCAGGAGAATATGGAAGTTCAGGCAGGGGAGGAAAATCTGTTCTATAAGAAGCCTCTGTGTTTGGATGGATATGCAACTTTATAACCATTAAAACACACATTGTCAAAACAAATATAGATATATAAATTAAATAGCCTTAAATCAAACTCTAATAAGTTCTCAAGCAGCAATTTTCCTACTCTGTCTGTCTGTAGACTTTTATTATCAATGGAAATATTTTTCATTTTGTGTGTATACGGTGAAATTGATGTTTAATGACACTTACTGATAAATCTAATCCTTCCAAGCCTATTTATTAGCTTGAGGTGTATTCTGGTTTTGGACTAAATTTTGATTTATACTGATAGAACTGTTATACAGTCAGTCTGCCTATGCAAAGTTGCTGCTTATTTATATTTAAATTGTAGCCCATATTAAGCTAGCCAACAGTGATAGGTTCATGTATCTTCTGACTTTACCTAAAAACTCCTTAATTGTAATACTGGATCTTGTTAATATCCAAAACTGGGAAGGTAGTCCTTACCACGGGCTGAGGCTATAAACGTTCCTGTTTTCACATAGGAGACCTGAATTAGTCCAGCAATATCCCAGTATTGGTGCTGGGATCTCAGCATCCACCTAAAGATATAGGCCAAATTAATTGGTAGTACCAGAATATATATGGCTTCCATTAATGGTCTTCTGAATAGACATTTGATACTGATGAGAAAATTAACAGAGATATTTGGAACATGTGGGAGATATGTTTTATAAGGAGCTATATTGTGCACAATATATTGGCAAAGTGATCTCACACAAAATAACAGTTAACCTACCTAGAAAGAAAAAATAGCCACATTAGAAAACACCTGTCTAAACTGAATTATCTAACTCGGCAAAACCTCTAAGAAGTTACAAAGTAGTAGGTGAATCTAATTCTTTCCAAGTCAGTGCTTTGGCACCATTTCCCTAAAGCAAATCCATGAGCAAGAAAATGTATTAACAATTTGCAGCATGAATTTGGTAACCTTCACCACAGGCCCCAAAAAGTTGATGTTTCCATGCATGAAACTTTCTTGGTTTTAGTGTTTCATGTTCTGCTCACTAGAAATCTTGTTTGGCATAATTTTATTCCTCAGCACAAAATCTCTTAAAAAATAAATATTAAAAAAAAATAAAAATATTGGGAAACTAACCAATTGCATTGTCTGCAATTCATACATTAGAATGCAGACCATTAATGGAAGCCTTTTTATTTAAAGGGAACAAATCGGATGTAGCAGAGAACCGCCAAGTCCTTTTTGAAGATGCCTGTACACTGGCAGAGAAGCATGGGCTATTGGCTGTGTTGGAGACTTCAGCCAAAGAGGCCCAGAATGTAGATGAGGTATTTACATTGATGGCAAAGGAGCTGATAGCCCGCAACACCTTGCAGCTTCATGGGGAGCATCCTCCAAACAGCATCTATCTGGATTCCAGGCCGGTGATTGATAGTCCAAGAACAGAGAAGTCCCAGTGCTCTTGCTGATGAGATGTCTCAATCATAAAAGCTGTGAAGGTGTGGCTGATGATTCCATATGTTTCCTGTTTGGCCTCAAACCATCATTATAATGTATCACTACCTTGCCGTTTTGGCCTGTAACACTCTCCAGGAGATAGGTGTTGCAATAGTCAAATGTGCTGGATTGCCTTGAACATGGCAGCTGTTGGTACTTAAGCAAAGACTAGGTGCTGCTAGCCTGAAGAGAACTGTGAAACTGCCTTTGAATAGACTCTCTGAATAGTCTTCTGGCTGTGCCAGAGGCTGACTGTAACCAGGTTTTGTGCTGTTTCCTTTAGGATACACATCCTGCTGTAGATCAAATTCTTTGGTCTTCATAAATAGCTTTACAATGTGTGACACGCGTACTTATACTTTTTTTATTCATGGCTGTTTGGCTTGCATTACTCAAGTGTTCAGATCTCCATTCAGGGTGATGCTGATGGCAGATCTGTGGCAGATACAGCGCCATAACTTATTACTGGTATTTTGATCAGGTAGACAATACTGCCATGTCTATCGTCCTCCCTTTGCCACACAACTTAGCCTCCATCCCTATTGCTTATATAGCAGCCAGAATAATCTGACTGGTATGTGAGTGGCCCTAGGGGTACTCCCAAGACTTTTTCCCAACTTCAATGGGTGAGAAGAGCTGCCTTCAATCTTCTTTGGTCTTTCTGCTGACACTGACTCGTACCAAGGCCACTTTTTGGTGGTTGCAGTTCATAATTCAAATTAGAGCTGAAAGACTCCCTATTATTTCTTACTAATCCCTTGCTTAAAATGAAAGGAATTGACTAATCCCATCTAAAACCGTTGCTGATCAGGTTGTGGAAATGACACCATAGTTTAGTCTTAGAACTCAAAGAGAGCTTTCAGGCTTTTGGTTAGACAGGTAGAATGGCTCACTATAATTTATTTTCAGTAATGAAAGAGGATGGGGATGCCCTTAGTACTGCTATTGGGTTGCATTTTTGCAGTAAAACATTGTCCACCAAAAGCTGGCCCCAATACTGGTTTCAATCAAACTTTTGTATTGTGAAGCTTATCTTCAGCAAGTGGGTGTCAGTGTTTCCTGTCATGACATTTCAAAACTGTATGCTCTGCAAATTGATTCTAGCTTTCTCTGTAAACCCAGAATTTCTTCACTGCTTTGGGAGAAGTCGCATGAGAAATTTGAGGGGAGAGCTGCTATAATGTTGTTAACTGTACACACATTTCTGCCATTCCTGACAAAGAAGCTTCTACTTGTGTAGGTCTCCTATTCCAGTTCAGTGGAAGCCTTCAGGAAACTGTTCCTTTAACTCCATAATATCAAACTAGTGGTTGGGGGAGGTGAGACAATACCAGTTTGTAACCCTTTCTGATGAGATTGCCCAAGGGATACTCAAAGCATAGCCCTAAAAAACATTAACTGTGTCCCTCTGTACTCTACTCAAATACCTCTTTAGTTATGCTGTCACTGGTGAATTACAAGCTAGAATTCCCACTTTATTAGAATAAAATACAGGCCTGCTTATAATGCACAGGGGTCCTAGAAAGTGGTGTGGTAAAGTGCCCTTGGTAGCTTAAGGTTCACATTTTCTGCTCTGCTTTTGAATAACAGGTGGCAGAATCTCTCCTTTATGAAAAGGCTTGTCTGATCAAGCAAAAAACTTTAAAAGTTGACGGTTAGATTGAAGGCTTGTGGTTTGTTGGTCATACATTTAAACCCAGTGAAACTTCCTCTGGCCCGATTTCTTCTTGTTTGTTAAACAGAACTGTTAATGTTCCTAATGTTAGTTCATAGAACAGCATGGCAGCTAAGATCTGAAGTAATGGGGGATTCCTACCACTGGCTACAGCTGGAGCAGTCACGTTTACCACTTGCTATTTAGCCTACATTTACCTTGTCAGCCCCATACTTGTCTGCATAATTCTATTCCCCCCTAGGTGGGTAGACCTAATGGAAAGTTACAGCCTATGTTGGTTGTCAATTAGTTACACCAACCATGCTGCTTCAATTAGTCTATCCAGCCCCTTTAATCACTTGTTCCTCTTTACCATTCCCTCCTATTTAACTTCTTGGTGATTAGGGGCCTAGAATCAAACGTAGACTTAGTTGAACAGAGAGATAGTGCTGCTCCGTCTGCTGTAATGGGGTGTTTTAACAATCCAAAAACCACTTGGAGTTTTTGGACTGGTACAGTGATCGATGCTTGCTCCTCTGACATTAATTAACAGTGTAAAGGCAGGGGCTGTAAGTGTTTTTGTTTTTTTAACTAAAGTATTCCCTCATGCTCTGCATGCAAACCAAATCCTACTCATGTGAGAGTCCACTTACATCTTTGTACATCATCCCTCCTTGAAAGCAACTTTCCCTCCTAAAACAGCCTTAATATTAAAATAAAAACAACCAAAAACCATTTACTCTTGTGCACATTATCTGGCCTCTTTCTTTAGATAGCCACAACTGATGAGCCAGTCCATGAAAGTTACCACACCGAGTAGCCTTTCCTAATGCTTCTCTTGTGCTGATAGAGTGGGTGGAGACGAGGTACCTACTACCAAAGGCTGCAGGACTGTTAGAGAAGCCCTTCAATGTTCATCAGTCCATTTGCTAGGTTAATTACAGGTCCTTAAACACCTCCAGCACTACTGGACCTACTGTAACTTCCCCAACCTGATATTCCACTAACCAGTAATTGTCCAGTGTAGGCAGCTTCCACAGTGCTTGCTTTGCCTGAGAGACATGAGCTATCAAGGGTAGTCTCTTCTCTCATCAAGGGGTTCTGCAGCATTACTCCATACACCATGTGGAGAACACCGACTGACCTGGCACAGGTCCCCTTCCCTCTACCTTGTAGAGGAGGGAACAGAGCCTTTTTGCATGAAGTGAGTGCATGTCAACTCCTGCTGGGGGGCTCTTAGCAAATCTTCAGTAGCTCAAACAAATAATCCTACCACTGAGGATTCAGACTAGCCTCCATTTTGGGAAGATATTAAGGAAAAGGCTACTCTTCCCTGGGACTTTTAGGAGTTTGATCCTATCTCCCACAATTCCACTGAACCCTTACTCATAGACTCCCTTTTGAAATCTCTCCCAAGCCCTTGAATAAAGTAATCATGCTGGGTCAGAGGCCAAGGGGCAATGTGTTTAACACCACTTTACTACACTGCTATGTGTGAATGCACAGAAAAGTGCATTAGGATTGCTAATGCAGAAGCTCTAGTATCCTGGGCAATATTAATGATTACAGAGAATATTTTTCCAGTGTAAATTAAGCCATAACAGTGAGAAACTTCATTGAAAATGGAAGCTTAGATTCTGGGACACAAAATAGCCACCACCACAGGAAAAATACCCATCTGCTAAATTAGAAAAACTTAACTCTATCTAGCAAGTGTCTCACTAAAAAGCACAGGGGTATATAGCCTGTGCCAAGGCAAGGTGATTTTTTTTTTTAAACTGCTATGGGATTCTTTGTATTTGTTTGTTCCACCTCCAACCCCTACCATCTGTAACTGTATTGTTTAACATCTCCATTAACAAGCAGGTAGAAAATGAGGCTAGATCTTCATTGTGCTATTTCACAAGCTTGCTGGTATTCCATGTCCTCTATTTAAAATCTCTTAGCTACAAAAATATGGAGGGAGCCTTTAAAATCCCATAAAACTAGTTTCAAATGGTTGTTACACTTACTAACATCAGACCTTTACACTAGTGTCAGATGAGACTGTCTGAGACAAGCCTATGATTATCAGTGGTGTCTATAACAGGTCAACTGCAGTCTGGCCAATCATGAGCATTTAAAAGTGAGTCAGGCCCCCAAAATATCATGATTGGCTTAAAAGCCACAAGTATTAAACGTGGGGTCTTTTCACTTGCCTTCTGGCTTTTGAGTCTTTAGGGTATGCTCATATTTTCAAGTTTTTTTTCCACAAACCTGAGGGACAGAACTTTTTTGGGGGGGGCAAGGACAGGGAAAGAGGGGTTTATAATGAAAGATGGTTTTCATGTAATCACTGTAAGAGCTGGGGCTGTCAAACATAAAATATTACAAGACTTAGAAACACTACAACTCTTCTTCCAAATGCAAGAGTCAGGTAAGGCCAGTCAACAGGAGAGTTCAAATGTTATCCAGAGTCATGCTTTAAAAGGTTCTAAAAGGAATGATGACAAACACTTTTACATTCCCATATAGACAGGGGCCTTGAGCTTTTAGGGTCTGTTTACACTGGGAAATTAACAGGGTTTAGAACTGGTTACACCTGTAGCATAGAGCAGGATCGATCTTGAAATTTTCAGTACAAACAGGTTAGGCCATCAAAACCCAGTTCTACATGACTGCTCTGTTTTAGCTGAACTAGAGAGCCTAAGGGTAATTTTTTTCAAAGGCACATAAGTGAGTTAGGACTCTAACTCCCTTTTCAAAAGGCATTTAGGAGCCTAAATATCACTGCAAGTCAATATTTTAATCTTACATTATTAGGCAGTAATAAGGTTTTTATAAAATATGGTATAAAAAGAGTAAACACTACCTATAATGAGATTTTTAAAAGCAATATTGACCACTTCCTAGAAGAAGTGTTTACGAAAGCTTATGCTCAAATAAATTAGTACTCCTTTTCTTTTTGCGAATACAGACTAACACATCTGCTACTCTAAAAGGTAGCTGCAGTTAAGGCTGTACTCCATTACACTTGCCTGCATCAATCTTGTCTATAGTATGAAACTGAACCATTATTGATTGGACACCGAACCCAGATTGACTGCAAAGGATTTAGTGACTGCATTGTCAATTTTATCTAATTAAATCATTTTTTTTATTTAAAGGTAGCTGCCATATAATTTCCTGTCTGCCACACCAAAAGTGTCCCCCCCCCCCAAAAAAATCTAGGAACCTTGGGCCAGAATTAAGATTAGTTTACTGCAGAGTATTCCAGGAATTGAGTGTGATTCAGCTCATGTTCACACACAAAACAAATTACCATGATGCACAAGTTGTGCCATCGCTGTTGCAATTTTACTTGCTTGGAAGCAGATTCACCACAATTATGTACATGCTTGAGGTTACTACACCATTATAATTCAATTAGACTGAAAGAACGGGCATTGCAGTTGCACAGTTGCAAGTGGTCCTTACAGCACAATCCAACAAGGCTCCAGCAATCTCTGCAGTCTCTGCTCTTTGCCTTAAGTCCCATTCTGATGATCTTTCCAGGTTTGAGCTATTGCAGTGCTGGTCATTGTATGTATGCATTGCTACTTATAAAAGAAAACTCATGCCAATTTTTATTGCTTAAAAATAAAGGATATTGCTATACAATATCATTTCATTTTACAAAATGCATGCTATTTTAATATGTTAAAATGT